TTTTTTTTAATAAAATATTTATATTTTACAATTTAAACTATATTAAATTATAAAATAAAAACAATTCCATAAAAAAATAGCGCCAGCATTAAGGCTTTCCCTTCATTCAATAACTTAAGCTGTGTAGATTTCACAAATAAAAACAATTCCATAAAAGAATAGCCCCAGCATTAAGGCTTTCCCTTCATTCAATAACTTAAGCTGTGTAGATTTCACAGCACTTTTTTTTTTTAATTAAAACTTTATTTTGGTCTCTAAACTATTGTACGAACTCTTTGTTTTGGTTTCTAAATTTAAAAATCCTTGATTTGGTCCTTGTTGCTTACCATTTTTATCCCGATTTAATCATTTCGTTAATTTTTTCACATTAATTGACGGAAGAAAATAGAAGAAGCATTATGTGTCATATAAAGATGGACAGGTTGGCAAAAATAAATGACATGACTGTTCCAACTCATTCCACCAAAAAAAAAAAAAAGAAAAACCTTTTTTTAGCTTTTTTTTTTCGTTCCTCTCTTTCATCTTTCCTTTCTTCAATTTCTGCAAACCCTAACATCTCAACCAATCTCTAACATCTCAACCAATTTCTACCCTTGCTAGGTTCATCATCATCATCATCATCGTCAAGTAACAAAACCTACAAAAAAACAATTTTTTTTAAAAAAAATTTTTGCCTCTGGATTCTTTCAAACCCAAGCGTGCTAGGTTCAATCGAACCTAGTAGGTACCCTTTCTTTCTCCTTCCTCTTCTTTGTTTTGCCTTCTTCATCAATCAATTCTTCATCTTCATTATCATCAAACAATAAAATCCACAAAAAAAAAAAGAGAGAATTTAAAAAAAAAAATTTTTTGCCCTTGTGTTTGATGGAAATCAGGCATGTTAGGTTTCAAGGGGAAAGAGAAAGGGAAAGAGAAGGAAAAAGAAAAAAGGAAAGAAATTTTAAAGTTTTATTTTTCATATTAATTTTTTTTTACATTATTATTTTTTTCTTGTCATTATTTTTCGTCATGTTGCCTTTCATGTATGTTAATATTTTGCCATGTCATCATAAAGTTGTGAATTAATAAGACACATCATGAGGTTTTTAATAGAAGAATCAAGTTGGGGTAAAAATAGTAAACAGTAAGGACCAAATCGGAGGTCCTACAATAGTTCAGGGACCAAAATGAGATTTTAACTCTTTTCTTTTTTTGTTTCCTAATTGTGCTCGCCGAGAATTGCTTTCCCTGGGCCTGATCCACGAAGTGGATTCGGCACAACTCTGGGAAAATGCCGAAAGCCCTATTTGTTATGTTTCTTTTCTTAGGCACTCTCTTCACTTTTTACTTTTTTGGATTCTATAGTTACAGGCTTACGACCTCTTGGGCTAGTGACCCAGTATTTCAGATTCTGTACATAACACAGGAAAAATAATTAATAAACCTGCGCGGGCGAAACCCAACAGATTTCAAGTCTGTCTCCTTGACCGCTCGCACATACCGACCTGTAGTTTTAAGTTGCTTTCTTTTAATTAATTTTAAGAAACCAATAGGTTATTTTAGGCCAACGGCACCATTAGATTATATCAAAAGCCAAAGGCTATATGCATGCAGAGACTTTGTTTGTCTTCCTTCATAAAGTCATTCTCTAGTTACACAAGTGAAAATCTTACATAATATATATTACTAGCTATCATTTTAAATCTAAGTTATTTGAGATATATTACTAAAATGTAGCACTATTATTTTTAATTGTTAAATTAAAAAATCATCCAGCACATAATTTATCTAATACTTACACATATGTATAAGAATCATGACTTAAAAATAATAATAATAATCATCATGGTAATGCTAAACCAAATTATTGTTACTATATATGTTTATCAAATATGAGTTCTTATAATTGTATCAATAGGAAAACCATGCATCTACATGCTCACATCATAAATCTGTTATACATTAATGATGGAAGTTACAACAAACAACTTTGGTACTATTTCTTTAAAATCCAACTGTGTATATGATCACCACATCTGAGGGGTCATCATGTAGCATGTTTGCTTCCCTCGGAAAACCAAAGGTTTCTTGATATATATAATATGCAAATTAATCTAACAGAAATTCTATACCCAGAAATAATACAGATAGGGATTTGGGCACATCTTGATAAAAAGATTAATCCCCACATCATTATATAAATGATATATCAAAACTACCCATTCCCTTCAAGGAAATCCTCTTACTTCCAGTATATGCAAACCTCGAACCTACCTCAGCATCTACCACTACTAGACCAGAGATGTCACTTACATACATACCAACTAATGGAAAGGAATCCAAAGACAAAGGATTTTAACTCCCATGTTAAATCTTCAGTTTTATTCCTCTTCTCTAAAATGTTTAGATTCTGGGTTTAAGAATAAAGAAAGATAACATATATAACAACTTGAGTACAGAAGAAGCTGCTGCAGGCCAACCCTCCGACCGGCTGCAATAAAGTTGGAACTCACAAACTCTTTAATTTTTTTTTTCTTTTAACATTTGGATCTTTTGCAACTTTAACTTTCAACATCTTCATCATGATCAGTGTCTCTTAGACCGAACCCCATCTCTTAAAGGAGAAGAGAGAAAAAAAAAAAAAGAGGAAAAAAAAGAAGGAAATTAAAATTAATCACAACTGCACCATGGATATATATATATATGGGGATAATTCTTCTAATCATTTTACAGAAAATAAAAAAGAGAGTAAAATTAAAGTCGTTAATTCTCTTCTCTCCGGACTTTCCTTATTTTCCGATGTAAATCAGGCTTGGGAAACAAGGATTCCAACTCTTCTGTAACATCCAGTACTACCTGTTGTCTTCTCCGTTTCCTGGACGGAATTGATGATTTCGGTTTTCTGGGTGCAGGTGGGCATTGTTTGACCGCCGTAATTTTATGACCCGGTGATGTCGGAGTTTTGAACCCATCATCTTCCTCACCAACCGTCACGTCATCAAGTTGTCCTAAAGACAGCTTCCCGATATTTCCGCTTTCCTCAGGAACCGCAGCGTCATGTTCCTCTTCTTCTTTCGCGTCTTCTGTAAAATTAGGTGAAAGAATAGTTGGCTCTGTGCTTATCACCGCGCCTCCCCGTTCTTCTTCAACTTCTCCTTGCTCTTGAGGAATCCCAATAAGTACTGAGGTAGCGGCATGAGGGCACTCGTCTTGAAACTCCAACGAGGGTCTCTTCGAAATATCGAACTGGATGCCTTCTGCTTGCTCTTTCACGAGAAATATCTCTGAATTCAACATACCCAGAACTGAAAATTCGTTAAATTCTGCGAACATCGATCAAACCACGCAAAGGGACAGCGTATGTTCTAAGAGAACTGGAGAGGGAGAGAGAATCAGAAAGAGAAAACGAAGAAGAGTGTGGTAGTGAGATCCTTCATGGGATGGTATATAATCATCCCCTTTTGTGTCTTTATTTGATCTCTCTCCTAAAATTTTTTTTCTAAAGCTTTTTGGTGAGAACTGAAAAGAAAGGAGAAGAAACGGCTAAATAATAGGGACATAAAGTGGAAGAATGAGAGTTAAGCGCATTGGATCCTTCGCCAGAGAATTAAGAGGGAGGGAATTTTATTAGGCGCTATAAATTGTCAATGAAAACTCGATTCAGTGTAGAACTCACGAAGTTTCGAGGTTTTAAATTCAAAACTGTCCACATCGTACGTGGATGGGTTTGCTGCAAATTTATTCTATTTTGTTGTTTGTATCACGAGAAGGAAACCTCATATTAAATTATTTAAAATTTGAAATTTCACTAAATTTTTGATGAGGCATATATATATTGTTTAATTGTTATTTTTTTAATAATTAACGTGTTTTTAGATAATTTTTTTTTGTTAATACTAATATTTTATTGAATAATTTAAATAACACATTTATATATTAGTTTAATATGCTTAAAGAAATTAATTTTTGTATTATTTAAAAATTTAAAAATTTAAACTTAACTTATAAAGTAATAATTTTTTAACAATATTAGTATGTGTTTATTTTTGAATTTAGAAAATAATTATTAATTATTAACTTTAATCAAATAAATTACACATTATAAATTATAAATAACAATAATTTTTAATTATTAAATATTAATTAATATTAATTATCTATTATATCAAAATAATTAATTCAACCTCTTATTTACTAACTTATTTGCAATAGGAAAAATTACTTTTCTTTTGCTTTTATAAAAAATTCTGATGATGTCTATTCTCTACTAACTTTGATGCATCAGATGCACGTGGCTTGCTATACATGGGACCATATCATGGTTAGATAATTAAATATCGTGATATCTCGTGATATTATGGACATAAATGTTCTCCTCAGATGCCTTGTTTATCTTGCAAGCAAGGACCCAACAAACTTTGACTTTGTTCTTTGCCCCCTCTTCTATTTTAATTAATTACTTCCCCTTTGGCATCATTGTCAATTACGTCTTTGAGAGCCAATTTGGTCACAAATCATGGGATCATTTGTCATGCTTGAATCATATTTAGCCTTCTTCTCGAATACTTTTCCTTCCTAACCACACAATTAGGTATTAGCATTTTATTTTGAATTATTTTAAAAACAGATAGTATCATTTCTAAAAAATTTCTAGATAAATGAATTTAGTTAAAAAAATATATACTTTTAAATATTGTCATATATTTACAATTAATATTAAAGAACTAAATATAAAAAAAATAAATAGTAACATTGAGTTTATGATTGTAATCACATACAATTGTTAAATAAAAAAAGAGTAACATCCATTAGCTGCATTCAATTTTTGCTGAATATGGAGTATGAAGGTAACTAAGCAGCAGATATGGCACTCACTTTAATAAAACAGGACCATATGGTATCCAATCCAATTAACTTGTTTTTACATAAGATAACATTTTTACTATAAATCATTTAGAAACAAAAAACAGTGAATAGAAAGCGAAAAAAATCTCTCAACCGAATGAAATGATGTTTGCTTGTCAATCACTGATCCAAATATGAATGATTCCCATTATATCAGAGAGGCACCTTTTTTGGCTATGGTAAAATAGTTTGGATACTATAGTACTCCTCCCCTTTTTCCCATTCTGGGTCGCTTTCTAGAATTTGTTGTAGTGGAGTAAGCCACACGCAGTCTTTGGGGATTAGTAACTTAGGATTCTCATCTCCCTCGTTGAAAATGGAAGGAGTTGAGATTTGGTAAACCTCTTTCCCCAACTAACGCTAGCTCGATCCCCAAATCTGTTATTATCAAATTAAATGTTAATAAAAAAAAACCCACAAAGTATAGAAGAAGAGAAGAAGAGTTTTTGAGATGATAAATTGAGGAGAGGAGTTAAAAGTCTTAGCTGGTAGTAGCTCTAAGAGTGCATGGTTTTCATCATCAAATTGTAGGGTAGCCACTAGTTTTAAAGGCAGCCAAGCCATCCCCACTCCCTCTAGTTTCCTACAATATCCTCCCAAGGTGCATGTGGTATAAGCATAAAGCTGCTGGACTTCGCGGATTATGTACAATGTCAAATGATTTAATAATGTGGTTTAGGAGGATAATTAATGAGGGTAGCGTAATTGTGTGGCATTGCACATGGCTCATGATTTTGCCCCCATTAGACATTGTCCAAATCCACAACCACCATGATTCATGCCTCATGTCTCACAATTATCATCCCTATTAGTTTCTCAATTCTCAACTCCCTTTTCCTTCCATCCCCACAAATCTCCCCATATTTATGCAATACTTTTCTATAAGGCTGCTATTTTAGCGCACCCATCACCCAACTATCCATGTTTGGACCACAGTGATCGCACGATATGTACATTAAAATTCTCTATATGCATGTGGCTTTCAAACCATATGCTAACTTCCTCATAATCTTGATCCATATCTAAGAGAAGGAACCTTCTTACCACTCACGCCAGTTCAATGTGGGTTGATTATGTTGTTAATGTAGCTTTATGCATATGTCATTTTGGGTGGAAAAAGGAAGGAATGGGGAAAGCCGAAAAGGTTGGTGGGCTATCATGCATGCTTTGCCTAGGTGTGGGTTGGCAAACTATAAGCTTTCTCAATGGTACTATTTTTCATACAACCATTGCTGCTAGTAAATTAGTTTGGTGCAGAGATTTGAATGATGCAGAGGGCCTGCTAACCCATATGGAACCTCAATCTAGTCATCTTAGCTACTCACTTTCCCATACATGAAAAACTGCTTAACCTGCGAAAGGAAACCCATCCATTTTTTGAGTGAAAGGGGTCATTGGCCCAAATACAAACATGCCTAACGACATTCAATTATAGTTCACTCTGACTCTCTGAAAAATTTTTGTGCAAAATAAAGCTACAGAGTAAGTATTCCAAAATCCAATAACTAAGATTTAGCAGGTTTGCACACAATTTGTCTCAATTGAATCAGGATTTGGTTACAGAGATCAAAGAAAAGTCAGAATTACCAATTACTAGAAGTGAATCACGTGGATGCATCCAATGGGGATCTGAGTCGAGATATCATTCAGTCGTTTCCCTTACTTTTGGTTCAGGACTTTCTTCGAACACTTGTGAGGTGGTGGTAGGTGACCTTTTAACGCCGTTGATTTATGGCTTTAAAAATAGTTTTTTGGATATTCTATCATTGTCAAGTGAGTCATGGCCTTGAAAAGGAGATGGGTTGACTTTGAACAAGCTTAGATCATGGCTTATGGTTCATGGGTGCACGGGTACATATTTAGCTGATATAAGCATGGCAAATTTCCACTTTGTAAAAAGGATCTGTTCCTCTGTTGTGAGGACAATAATTACGTAAAACATAGGATTCTTGCAGCAGCTTCTTTTGAATTTAGCCCCACCCTATACTCACTTGCCACAAACAGAAGGGTTCTTAATTTTGTATTTTAGCTAGTTTATGTTTTTTTTTTTTTGAAATGCAAAGAGAAATTTATTATGTGTTGCGGGTACCAAGAGTACACCAGACCAACACCAAATTGAGTAAGTTACAAATTGAACAACAAAATACAATCAGTCATGGGGGGATGGAAGTGCCTTTGGCTGTATGTGGGACTTTACTTGTTGCTTGCTATTCCGTTACCTATCCTTTTGTTGCTGCAAATATTGGTCAGACAATCAACTGGGTTATGGAGCCAATCTGATAGGGAGAAGACACAGCCTCCTTTTCTACTTTTTAGCCATCTAAATGACCTAATTTGTACCAGCTCCAAGAGCCTCATTTTGTCTGGTTCCTTCTCTCGAAAGATCTTCTCATTTCTAGCAAGCCATATTGTCCAAACAATACCAAACCAAATGCATTCCCAT